TCTCTCTCTCTCTCTCTCATCCTCACAGTTACTTTATAAAGCAGACAGGTCGCCTGAATCCTCAGAAGACAAACGGAGGTTAGATTTACAGGAGGATATCTCAGAAGAGGAATGGCCTGAGGTTTGCCTGAGGACTCAAACACAAACAATATAACTGGATCATAAAGACATATATCACACTCAAAGCTGCATCACTGTAATCCCACAGACACAGACTCTCCCTCTGCTTATGGGAATGTAACGTTTATGGTAGATCTGCATTCTGGGTGGGAAGAGACGCAGTGCATTGATAGCTTTGTAGCTACAGGCTGGAAAAATGTCAATAAACCTTAACATTAATGAAAAAACTGCTGATATAACATATAAAAACACTGACAGAGCATTTTGTTGTGTAACCTAACGAGTACTTTCATACATTTAACTGATAATACTGAGCTTTAGGTTTTGAACAGCACACCCAGCAAAAAAGGGGTCCTCGTTGCAATCATTTGTTTTTTATTTCATCTTTAGGAAATTAATTTCCAAAAAATTCCAAATCCCTTTTTTAAACTAATCAAAAAAGGGACCAATTTTTACCCAACACCTTCCTTCTTCTTCCTCGCCTGGTGCTGCTGGCAACAGGCCTTTTTTTACCTTGGCCCTTTGAAAACCAAACAATCCTAAATTGGATCCACTTCCCAGGAAAACTGTACCAGGGAACTCAAAAGCCGGCCAGGCTTTTAACTTAGAAAACCAAAGAAAATATGAATCACATTCACTTCCAGTTTTTACCCCAGGGGCCCTCCCCGTTTACTTGGCTCCCCAGATTTTTTAACAAAATTGATTTTAAGATTTTACTGATTTACTTAAAGGCTCTTACGTGGGTCTTCCTCCCCCTGCCTGTTTTCTTCAGACTCGAGATCCTTCGGGGCAGAGTTTTTCAGTGGTTCTGCTTCCAAGGGCCCAACTTTTTGGGGGGGAAAGGCAAAAAAATCAAGATCGGGGGGCTGAGTCAGGAGAAGCCCAATCCCTGGATTTTACTTTAGATTTTTTTATTGATTCGAAAGTTATTTTACTTGAAAAATTTTTTGTGTTTTTTTTTTCTATTGTTTTTAAATTGATGGATTTTATAACTTGTTAAACCCATGTTATTATTATTTTATTATTAATTATTATAAGGCAGTATTTAAAATACCATGTGTATGAAGACTTTTACTTAAAAAAAAAGGGGAAACTTAAAATTTTCTGTGTTGATTCTTTGGGCGCCCCCTGTTGGAACAAAAAAGGAAGGTTATTTTTCATTTGGGACTTCAAGGGGGGAATGTGGAACCATCAGGAATAACTTAACAGAAAACAGCCCAATTCTCCTCCTTGAATGGGCTTTGTTGTTTTTGTGGTCATTTACCCAGAGCTTCACTATTAAAAACTTGAGAACTCCAAAACCCAATTTTAAAAAAATAGATTCTAAATAACTCCTTTCCCCAACCCCCAACTGGGGATTTCTGAACCTGTGTGTGTGTGTGTGTGTGTGGAGCTGGAATATACTCCTGGGCAGGACCTAAATGATGAAGACAGGGTTTGAGGGTTGTGTTGCTGTGGTCTAATGATGCGTTACACACTTACAATCATCATGACTAAACATCAGAGATGCAGAGCAGTAAGTCTCCGACACATTAGACATCAAATAGACACGTGTGTGTGTGTGTGTGTGTGTGTGTGTTGAGAGTGCAGCTGCAGGCCGGGTCCATCCAGCAGACGACAGCAGCAGCAGGGGTTGTTTGTGAAGCTGTCAGCAGCAGCTCTCCTCCTCCTCCTCCTCCTCCTCCACCGTTTCCCCAAAGGAAGGATTAGCGCGTTGCGTCCCGCTGGGCCGACAGTATATACACACTGTAATGTGAACGCAGGGATGCTGCTGCTGAAAACAAGCTCAAAATTAGATGCACGCTCTTTGGGAAAAAAACACACGCAAAGTGAGTGAGAGTCCTGATGACGGAGGAGGCGACTGGAGTTCATTTCTTATTGCATTTAATGAGAATGTTATAGGATAATAAACAGAGTTACAGCTCTGTAGTACAGGATGTTAGAGGGGGAGGGAAGCAGAAAAATGCTAATTCTGAACAAAAAAACTTCAAGTGACGGAAATCAATTTGCTGAAGCAGTGTGTCTTCCTCCATCTGCCTGTATCCCACTGACTCCTCAGTTTCACTCATGATTTACCTCCAACGAACAGTGACAGTGAGGGAAGTGTCCTTTATGCAGAGAGCTAGACAGTAAAGGTGTAACATGTTAGTCTGGAGTCACGTCCAGTCAAAGACTTAAAACCTACCTTAAAATATAAAAAATCAGTTGCAATCATAGACTGTATATTTATTTTTGTGAAGCTCAGTGTGGTCGACTCTGGCCGTTGCCCTCCCGGCTGATACGGAATTAGGCAAACATGTTTATTTCTGCTGTAAAGTTGTAATATGGAGCCTTATGGAGACTGACTGACTGCTGGAGCCAGCCTCTAGTGGCCGTTAGAAGAAATGCAGCTTTTGTTACTTCGATGTTGGCTTCATTTCCAGCCACAGAGGTTGCAGCTTGTTCCAATATGTCATCCAGGAGGTCTAGAACAGGTCAGCAGGTCCAGGTCTGCTGGGTTTTATAGGTGATCTGAGTGAGGGGCTAAAATATAAAATGCAGCACAGATTATTTTCAGGATATTTGGTCAATTATAAATATAAAGTTTCTATAACTGGAAAATTAGGGAACCCTGTTTATGTTTATTGAAACTGATGTGAATCCAGCTTTGAGTTGCACCCAGACCCTTATAAGAGGTGGCCCACTGCGGGATTGATCCCTTCCTAAACAGCTTAAGGAGGGGGGGGCTGTTTATTAGGGAATGGTGGTCGGATTCAGTTGCGATCTTGGTTGTGAGGAGGAATAAGGTGACCAGCCGTCCCTCCCAATGCCGCCTGAATCAACATAATCCACCAGGGACAAGGTGGGGCACCTCCTCAGCAGTTCCCCTGCACTTTAATAAAGAGGTGGTGGGGAGTTAAAACATTCAATAATGTGAGTATATAAACAGAAGAAAACAGCCTTTTGTTCTACCACATATATGAACATTCGTCCACCATTTACTGTCTTCTAGCAGAGTGCAGCTCTGAGGTGAAATGTGAGCGATTCATCACCATCCGTTGGGCCGGCATGCCGACCCTCTGCCTGGCTCGCAGCCAAAACGTAGATACGCACCATATTTCACGGCCTGCGCGTCCAAATAGAATACCCTGCTGCTCTAAAGAAAACACTGAATTTGGGAGGAATCCGTGGCAGATCTGTCAGGAAGGAAAGAGGCAGCTACCTGCTTTTTGCATTACAGTGGCAGCGAGCTAAATGGCTCTTTTTCCCCAGTGGACATTGTCTGTCTTTGAAATGCGATCCGGTGAAGCTGGCCGAGGCTCGTTAGAAAAAGGTCTGGGCGCTTTCAGGGCGGTGGATCAGAGAGCAGTGTCAGATATGCTGCTCTCCAATCTCACCAATCTATCACTGTCTGCTTAGAAGTGCCAGAGAGCCTCCGGGGTGCAAACTGCAGTACCCACTGTGATCTGCAAGCCACTGACAGTAAGGCAGTGTGCAGCCACTGGAGGAGGCCTGGATACCAGAGCTGGAAAGTTTACACAAGTACTGTACTTAAAGGTCCAGTGTGTGACACTGAAGAGGATCTATCGTCAGAAATAGAATATAATACTCATAGGTATGTTTTCATATTTCGTATAATCACCTGAAAATACGAAGCATTGTGTTTCGTTACTTTAGAATTTTTATCTACAGACTTCTGTGGAGTCCACCATGTTCAACCACCATGTTTCTACGCTGACTGTACTTGTACTTCAAGGTCCAGGCGATTAAACACTAATGAAAACATACCTATGAATATTATATTATATTTCTGACAATAGATCCTCCTGTTACACACTGGACCTTTAAAGACCTTTTTAGTGATTTTAGGTCATTTTTGTTGTCTCTTTTTGTAATTGTATGTCTCTTCTTAGTAATATATGTCATTTAGTTGTTTTGCATCTCTTTTCTTTTCAGTGGTTCAACTTCTCTTTTTAGTTATTTTACAGCTTTTTTAGTTGTTGTATGCCTCTTATAGTAGTTTTGCTTCTCTTTTTGTGTAACTTTTTAATAATTTAAAGTCTCCTTTCAATAATTTTACGTCTCCTTTTTGTTGTTTCATGTCTCTTTTTAGTAGTTTTAGTAGGTTCTTTTTGGTGTTAATAAGTGAATAGTTGTACAGTTTTGGATTCTTGTTCATGTTTCCAGATCTCAGCTATTAACCATAATGGATAGAAATGACGGACAAAACTACCAAAAC